TTTGGTTTTGAAAATTTATCCGTTAAACCCCTAAATCCGCTAAATCGAGGTCCGTTAAATCGAGACCCACTGTGTACGTACTTTCTTTCCTCAGATAAGATTCCAGTGTCTGAACATCATTTATTTTGAAAACATAAGGCGCAATTTTTTCTCCTTGTTCCTTTTTCAAAATATCAATGTTCACTTTGTCTGGTTTTGTTGCAGCATGCCCCATATAAAAAAAAATGAAATCAATTGTGAAAATCCTTTCCTTATACAGGACGGTCTTTTTTGTTGACATGAATTGATTTTTTTTCTTAGAAAAACAATTTATTTTTCAATGACAAAACGTGAGTCTCCTAAAGAAGACGTGTTAATAACTAACCAGAGATACTATTTTTTATTTGTATTGATATGTCTTTTAGTTTATAAATATTTTAATTGAAATCAAAAACGTGGGTAGATCTTGTTGGGTAATTATAAGATTCTTATCAAGATTGGTATCATTTTTTTCTTTGCATAATTGTAATCAACAATATTAATATCATTATAATTACAAGATGTCAAGGCAGCACAATATTGAAAAAGAAACATTTCAATATGAAACAATTCAAGTATGCAACATTTGATTATTGGGAATTTACAGACGTTGAAGCATGCACACTACCTTGAACACTTTACAGTCATTCTCATGTATTCCTCATGTACAAAGGCTAATTTGACCAAGATTTCCATGATGATATGATGATGCAATCAAATTCTAGGGGGGGGGGGCGCATGGCCCTGGGGTTTACCGAGACTGCACCAATTGTCAATGACACCTTCACTAATCTTCCCAGACCAGAGAAGGCTGCTGCCATGCTGGCTGAAAAGTCGCCTGTAACGATCTACCTCTAGGGTAAGGATGGCTCTGTGATCAAGTCGCAATTCTATTGATGAATTGTAGTGCTATGTAAACATCAAAGCAACAAGAATCTGCAACTCATTTCAAGCACAAGAGGTTACAATTCAGAGCAGGGTTGGTAACTCTGAAATTGCATTTGGGTTTTGATGTTAGAAGGAAAGTTGTAAAATAGTGTTTGTTTGTATAATCATTTTCCTAAATTGTTTCTCTGATACTAACCAATTTATAATTTTGGGTAAGGCACTGGGTGGGTTTTTGTCCAATCAGTCCTCTGTCCTGTAGGTTAAAATTATTGCATGATTATATGCATCTTTGTCAGCAATATGGCCAATAAGAAAAAAGTCATAAAATGGTTCAGATTTTGGTATGTTTTGTTCAAATTAAACATTCCCATAAATACTATGTTTTTCTTTAATTTTTGTTTGACCAACTGAACTTGTAATTTAAATGGGATAGGGTTGTTGGTGAGAGGCGTGCTGCCAACAAGACAGCAACCCAAGTTGCAAACTCCTGAGTTGCAGAGTTGCAGACACCAACTTTATTTTAGTGAGAGAGGTATAACACAAAGCAATCATCACACAAATGCTGATCCTCATCATTACCAATGCCAATATGGTAACAGTCAAGCCTGGTCTGAGGGGATAATAAGGGAAAGTTTTGTCCAAAGCCTTCAAACATGTTTAAGTCCGCTTCACCTGTGGGAAAAAAATTCCATAGTGCTGAATTGCACTTAATTGTACGTCTTGCATGCTTGTGATAGGAAAATTTAATTAAATCTGACGCCTGTGATCAACATCAGATTTATTTGTGATTTTTAAGGAACTATCTATACAATGGGAGCTATAATCTTTTTTTTGACCCTCCCTATTTATTTATTCTTGTGAACTCCAGAGATCTGGGTAGGCAGGCATCATATGCAAGAAAGTGATTAAATAGCTAAGTCATGTTTGTTTTATTAAAGACATATGATTAATTATATTTAAAATATACAATAAAAAAATTGCATAGAATCCAAGACTGCACCACTGTGTCAATCAAGCTATCATGTTTGTGCATGATTTAAAATTCTTTTGCACTGATTTAGGGTCCCATCTTTTTTTGCTTATCTATAATATATTGATTCTCTTTTAACTGGTCAAATGATGCCAAATTGGGTAATGGGATATATCAGTAAATATCAGAAACTGATTATTCTTTAAAAAAATAATCAAGGTATTAGCATACTGATAAGTTAATAATATTCTTAGTATTTTTATCATATATACAGTCTAACCTCGTCACAGTGGATCTATGGTACCAGCCAAAAAAATTCACTGTGACAAATTTGGTGATCTGCAAAAAAAAAATTTATTAACGAACGATAATATATAATAATAATAATAATACATTTTATTATAAATTAATAACAAATGATGATAAAAAATAATAACTTGCAAACATTTAGACAAATAATTTACCAATTGTTTGTTTATTAATTTATTTTAGAAACTTGGAAGATTTTGTTACTTGCAAACACTTAGACAAATAATTTACCAATTGTTTGTTTATTAATTTATTTTAGAAACTTGGGAAAGGTTGTTACTCGCAAATAATCTGTCAATTGTTTGTTTATTTGGGAACTTGTAAAATTTTGTTACTCGCAAATCTTTGGATAATCAATCAATTGTTTTTGGAATTGAATAATATCTAGTTTGTTTTATTGCTTTTGTTTATTTATTTTAGAAAAAAAAATTTTACATTTATTTTAATTTGGATAATTTATATGTCACGTGAATTCACTGTGATGAGATTAGTAGCAATATAGAAAGACCCCCACCAAAAATTCGTTAATGTTGTGGAACGAATTTATTAATAAAATTCATTATGACAAATATTTTTAATTAATAAAAAAAGGGGCCGATATTTAAATTCGTTGTGACAAGAAATTCGCTGTGACAAGGTTCGCTGTGGCGAGGTTTGACTGTACTAGCAAATATTGAACATGCCAATATTTATCAGATAGTCTTTTAAAATTAATCCTTTAGTTAATTATTGGCATAGTTCAATAAACTGATAACTCTTTTATATTGTAGTTAAGTTATTAGTTAAATATTTCTAAAGCTCTTTGTGCTAAAATAATTTCATATCTTGAGTAGCAGTTAGGGTTTTCTATTCAAATTTGAACAAAACAAATAATTCGAGTAATAATAAATCGAATAAATCGAATAAATCGAAACAGAAATAAAACGAAATAAAACGAATAAAAGCAAATAAAAGCAAATAAATACAAATAAAAACAAATAAAAACAAATAAAAACGAAATTTGGATTATGAATAGAAACCATGCATTAATATTTAAAATCAAAAAACAACAATAAATAAACAAACAAATAGCATTTATTGCGAAATAATCAATTTTGTTCTTTTGGTGTTAATGATTGAATTGATCACACAAGCAATAGTCAATTTAAACAGCATTATTTTTAAAGAATTTATTCAAAATATTTATTTTAATGTATAAATTTTAAATGCAAATTTTTTTGATACATCAATCTCAATCCATATTTATATACTTTAAAGTTTCTTTATTTCTTTTTTTGATAAATAATAAATTTATCCTTTGTTTATTTGTTTTAGTAGATTCAAATAGATCAAATGATACACTACAGCAAATTTCAGAGAAACAATAATGCAAAACACACATAATAAGTATATATAGCTTGTAGCCTAGGTCCTGTAGAATATGCATGCAAAATTTTTGTGTTTTCTGACTTTTGTTATGTCATTATTTATTTATTAAAAATTGAAATTCGATTATTTCAAAAAAGAAAAATTAAAATAATTTATAGGGCCTAGTACTAGGCCACAAACCGTATAGTCAACCCCATTATTTCCGTTTAAAATTAGTATTTAGTATTAGCGTTAGTGTTAGGTTTAACAAATTTGGGTTTAACGGGTGAATTTACTGTTTCTTTGGTTTAACAGGTTGACTACACAGTTGTGTATTTTATTATGTTAAAAAAACATTTTTTTTTCTAAATTAAAAAAATCTATTTTACTGTTTTTAGAAATAAACAATAATTCTATTTAAATTTATTTGTTTATCTGTTATAGTATTAGTATGATCAAATAAATTTTGGATTTCCAATTAGACATTTTAAAAAAATATAAGATCATCATTAATGATATTCTAA